TAACTTCTCCTTACACAACAGATCTCCCATCTCTAGACCAAACTCATCCTAATGCATGCTGTGTTGCAAGCTGCTGAATACATGTAATTGTAAGACACCCAAACAGGCTGTGTAAGTATCACAGCACCTACAAGCAGCAAGAAGGCTTCACCTGCAAAATAGCCCAGTCCTCCCAACAGGTTCTTTTGCTGCTGGGTTCAGCTGTTGTCTCAGATCCCAAACTGAGGCTGCAGAGTTGGTATTTCAGGAAAAGGAGCATCCACCCCTCCAGAACTGTTAACCACCCACATGGAAACAGAGAGGAAAATCATCCCTCGTTTGTATGGGCTTGGTCAGTCCCATGAGGGAAACCAGCAGAGCTTCCTAGCAGCACCTATGGCAGCTATCTGTAAAGCAATGCTGTTGTTTTCCCCTGTTCTTCAGATAAGCAGATCCTGGGAATGCGGCAGAGAAGGTATGCATAATATGCTGCTCGGCAGTAAAGTGTCCTGCCAGTTAGACTGTAGAGTACAGGAAGGAAGGCTTTTCCAAAGAGCTATCAGCATGACCTGGGATACTCAGACACCCAAAAGTCAAAACGAGGATCAAAGGAGAGGAAGGGTTATAAAGAATCATCCCTTCTTTACTGGCACAGGAAAAGCTTTAATTCTTAATTCCTTAAAAGCACACCATTTACACTGGGTCTCCTCTAGGTACAAGTAAGGGTCACAGCACAGCCCATAGGGTTTGGTTTTGTTCCCCTCTGTCCCTCAACAGGGGGCCTCATCCAGTCTCTGGACTGGGGAAGTCCAGCTCTGCTGCAGACGTGCTGTTTACTGTCAGGCAGGTCCTAAACTTGTCCAGACCTGAGGAGTAAAATGGGGTCACACGGTACCTCTCCTACCACATGTCAATACCTTCTCCTTTAGTTAGACAGACATCCTGTGTCACTTTGATGAGTTTGGGAGAAAACATTGAAAAGCACTGCATTTGAGGTGAAAACATTGTTCAGCAAAATGAAAAATAAATGAGAAAAAAGAAAAGTGAAAGGGGAAGGTTTTAACTTTTGGAATGAGAACGAAGCTTGAAAGCTTGAAAACTAGAAGAACTTCCTGAGAAAGGTAAACTGTTTCCTGGCAGAGCCAACCATGGCATGCTGCCTGTACTTCTCTTGGATCCACAGCTGCAACAGTGGGCAGAGAACGCGCTCAACCCAGCTCACCTCCGCATGGCTTACTGTCCTGCTGCTCTGAGGGCCATAATGCACACAAATTTCAGCCCTATTGGCTACACAGTAAGTATCCTTTCCTTCTTCCCCTTCTCTTCAGTCCTCTCAAGTGATACACCCTTCACACAGTTTTCCTAGGGTCAGGGTAAGCAGCTCTGCAGAAAGACAGTTGCCCTGTAGTTTGGGAGACAGTGTTATTTCCCGTAGCTTCTGGAAGGATGCAGCAATTAGGGATACTAGACCTGGAAATGTGCTCTGTTGTAATGTCTGGTTGACCACAGCAAAAAAGAAGAAACAGCTTCTGACCCCACCTGTAGGAGAGAGCTGAGGGAGGGGATGTGTCTGAAACGCAAGAGGTTTCTGCAGGTGAAATGTGGAACAGAGGAGTCTGAGGAATTTTCTCTGAGTTGCTCTGCTGCTAGATAGAGTGGGGCAGGACCCTGGGCCTCTTTGTGGGATCACCCGACAAAGGACGGGGCTACTGAAAAGAGCAGTGGACACAGTGCTCCCCAAATGGCCCAGAGGAGGACATGTGGTGTGGGGAGAGCACAGGACTGGAGGCTGGAGCTATGTCCAGAAGGGTGCACAGAAGGAAAGTGGAAAAGTGAGCAGAGAACTGCTCTCAGGCCTGGAAAAGCTTTTCCTCTGCTGAGCCGGTGTAGCAGCAGGCAAAACGAAGATCCAGCAGGAGCTAGCTGCAGAAAAGAGATGGGAATGGAGACATCAAAGAAAGACATGAAATCTCTTGGTAGGCACAAAGGAGAGAGGAATCTTCCCGAACTAAAGCTGCTTGCTGCACCTTCACAGCTTGGGGGACCCACTGCCCCACAGGGAGCCATCAAACTGAAACTGTCTTGGATTGCTTCCCCTTGTTTTGTGAGTAAAGTTCAAATGTCTCCATGCTCCCAAGCTCCTACAGAGAGGCTGGAAAGAGGAATGCCATGACTGCTGTTGACTATGGGCTGCCGAAAGCCACAAGAACTTTCAGTGAATGCCTTCACCCACAATATTTTCAGCAAGGTTTAGTGCAGCTATGAGAGTGAGACAGCTTGGGCCAACTCTGAAGGTGTAAACTAATGATTCCCAATCCTTTTTGTACTGTGAGTGCAAAGATTTAGTGGCTGCTTCTTTCACAAGTAGCTCAGCTTTCACTGATTTCACAGCTTTTAAATACGAACTCCTGAAGTTAGCAGTCTGTGGTAGAAGCTTCATGATTTTAAGTTCTTTTGATTGGTCATAACAGTGGAATGAAAACCGATTCTCAGACCTATCTTGCGTCAATGAGCTGGGTCTTTCACAAAAACAAACAAATAAAAAAACCTAACATCAGCAGAGTCACAAAATTATATGAACTGGCAAGAATGGGGTTTGGCTGCTATTTTCTCCCTCTTGGGGACGTTAAATGGCTACAGGTACTGGTTTCAACGTAGTACATGTACATTCCTGGTAGCAGAATGTCTAAGACTGTAGGAATTCTCCCCTAAAGAGCCCCCAAAATACACTAACCTCTCTAAGAAAGCGAGCCCAACTATCAGTGCTTCTGTAGGTTTTTCAAAAACAGGGTCTTCCTGCCAGAGATGTGATGGAAATCAGCTGGCTAGGTCAGCCCTCTGCCCTTCTTTTTTCCTAATGCTCGTAATCCCCATGCGTCCCACTAGAGCAAAGAGCTTGCCAGTTATGCCAGCAGCAAAGCACAGAAGAGCTCTGCATGCTACCGACGAAACAAATGGGGAAATGACGGAACTTCTCGTTCCTGTCACACAGGAGCATTAAATGTATTTTTAAAGCAAAAGATGGTAATGAGCCTCTCTGTCTTGCTCACGCTGTCTGTGAAAAGCTCTCAGGAGGAACAGAGAAGAGAATTAGCAGGTCGGGAACTCAAGATTTTGCTCTTTGCTCTATTTTGGTCTAATATCTTCTTAATTTTGGGACATTAACCATCTTTTTGGAGGGTTGGGGCAAGGGGGGAAGACCAAGTGTGCCACTTTTAAGATGTTCTGGGAGTTGAGATGTTTTTAAAAATAAGAACAGATGGCGAAATCTACAGCTGATCAGAAAATAAGGTAACACAGGGAATGAGTGGGAAATAGAGGAAAAGGGGCAGAATCAAAAGGACGAGTCAAAGGCTAGATACTTCAGAGAAGCTTCCTGACAGACCTGCCGTGTGTGTGACACGTGGCTCCCAAAAGGAAACGAAGGCCTGTGCCTTACTACTCTAAAACACCCCTGCAGCAGACAACAGAAAGTACTTGAGGGGTGCAGTCCCGTGTGTGTGCAAAGCAGAGGAGATGGGGCAGAGTGTCCTCAGCATAACAGAATTTTTGTTTTAGTCCTCATTTATTCTTTGTTCCATATGTGGCTTCCTGTGCACAGCAGTTACAACAAATTAAGAGCTCAACTCCCCCTCTGAGACATCACAGGACACTACATAGTGAGAAAGAACAAAACAAGCATTAACGGTTCCTGATGCAGGCTCTGTCCAGTCTAAAAACCCTTACAAAGCTACGTAATTGTCATGCTGCATATCGGCTATGCTGCATTGGTTGAAGCAGTGCTTGGTCCTTCTCCACACCAAAGTTTTTTAGTCTGTTGAGGACTTCTCTTGTAATGAACACGCCTGATCTTTAACCCTTGCCTGTAGGGCAGGCTAGCGCAGATAACAAGGACAGTGATGTTAACACCTGTGTGCTATCAGAACTGCCCCGCTGCGCTATGTGCTGGAAATCTTCAAAGAAAAATTATAGTGGTGCCTCAAGCACACTGCTCCCTGGCTTTGTGGCATGTCCCTGGCTGTTGGTGCCACATCAACACAAAAAGGCTTCTCTGTGAAGATAATACAAAGTGTTTAGTAAGATCTGTGTCTGGCTGAAAGAAATACCCAAAGTCCTCTTTCGTCATTTGAGGTTTTGCCAATGTTGCAATCACCTTTCTACCTCCTGTGCCTCTCCTAAAAAAAAAAAAAAGAAAGAAAAAAAAAGTATCTTTTTCCTCTGCAATCTAAAAAGACATTTGAAAAGCTAGTGAATCCAATCCACTTTCGGTCTCATTTAGTACGAATGGAAAGGAGGCAAGGAGAGGCGAACTGCCTTGCCTAAGAGGCTGCTGCACGGGAGAAGGCTTGGACTTAAACGCCAGGGCATCTTCACTTGTGCTTCCACACCCCTGTGCATCAGCAGTGCCCACCAGGAGACAAGAGCTCCCACTCCCTCAAGGCACGAGGCACACAGCACGAAGAGAGGCACACGAACCGTTCCGTGGGTGTGCTAGCCCTTCACCCCGCTGAAGCAAAGGCTCTCAGGTTCTCTTTCCTGGACCAAAATGCTGCTGATAATGAAAGTGAGATTGCACCATCCACGTGGAACAGGGGCGGCAAGAGGGTCTAAATCACAGCTGCTGCTGTGTGGGTCGGGTAGGAACCAACCCCAAGGTGCCCGCTAATCCATACGGTTTGATCACTTCTCCTTATGCACCCAATTTCACTGATTTTTTAACTGATTAAAAAACGATCCCATTTAAAACGTTACTTTTGTTCCCACCTCAGAGACTAAAAAAGTAAATGGCAGCCCTTCATTCCCCTTTGCAGATGTAATTTCTCCCCACACTGACCCCCTCCTCCAAATCTGGACTGAACCCTGCAAAATATTCTGAGGTGGAGTGGCGGCGAGAGGCATTTATCTGAACCTCAGCGGAAAGGTATTTTGAGCTGCCTTCAGTGAGAAATGGCTTTGCAAGGTGCAGCTAGTGCAGATCTGCGAGTGAGCCACAAGCAAGTGGAAATAAAAGTTTTCTTTACCTCCATGTCCTGCCAGAGAGATGTCCTCGGGGCAATCTGTCTTCCCCACCCCTTTCCCTCTTATCTGCGGGAAAACTTCAGCCAAGCCAGAGCAAAATCGCGCTGCCGTGGAGGGTAGGTAATATCCACGCTCCCGCTCAGCTTGAAAACTGACAGAGCCCAGTGAGCTGCCCTGCGCTACGAACAAGGAAGAAGGGCGGGTGGGTGAGAGGAAGGGAGGGAGGGGAGAGGAGGGGGAGGCAAGGCAATCAGGGTTTAAATTTAGACACAAATCTAAACAGATACTGTCCTTCCCGGAGTGCTGGGCTCATGAGACAACAAGCAGCAAACTTTGCTGCTGTGCCCAAACTTGGGGACACCGTATGTGTATTTTCTCCCTCCCTTTCTATCTACCCTTTGTATTTCTAGCACCTCATCTTTCTTTTTCTTTTTCTTTTTTTCCCCTTTTTTCTCCCCTACCCCGTTTTGCCTCTATTTTTTTATACTTGCTTCTTTTGCTTGCATCTGCTCCCCCACACACGCCTCTGGGTCTTCCCCCCTGTCCACTCTTCTCTCTCCAAGCCTGCAGGGTCTCCTCCTCGTTGTTTATGATCTTTTTTTCCTGTAACTCTAGCTTCCTCTCTTCCTTCACACTTTTCTGTAATTTCCTTCAGAGTAGACTGTCTTCAGAGTGGTTGGAGGGGCAGAAGAGGAGCAGAAAGCAGCTGGTGATTGCATTTGCACAGAACATAAGACTTTGGTGCCCCGGTCCACGGCTGGGACTCCCAGGCACAGTATCAGCAGTCCTGATGTGCTCCTGGGCAATTCCCAGAGAGACCAGGGCTTCACTGGGGAAGATGAGGCACAAATGCTGGCAGAAGCAGAGGGTCCCCAGGCAAGGTGTCACGGGCTAGCTCTAAAGCAGAACTAGCTCTTTCTGCTCTGAATCCATTTCTCACACTACCAGGTGAGAAGCTGCGTGTCACTCTTCCCTCCTTTTGCAGGGAAGGGCAGGCTTGGACACTGGAAATGAGAAGCTTCCGTGGTGCTAGAAAAGCTCAGATGGGAAAAACTAAGCCTCAGGAATGTTTTGCTACGGTTTCCTTTTCCATTCAGACCACAGTGTTGGAAACTATACATCTCGTTCCTGTTTTAGCAACTGTTTGCACATGCTCCTTCTCAAGAATTTCAGTCCCCACCTCCTGAGAACAGGGTGGTGCAGAGGAATTTGGAAACACTCCCTTTGTCTTCTGCTGGCTCCCTTGCTTCGCATGCAGCTGCAAAGTGACACAATTTCATGTCGTCATCTTGGGCTGATACCTTGGGGGCACAGGAGAGTTAAAGCAACTTTTCTGAAAGGGATGCATACTTTTCCTTCACAGTGTTTCACAAGTCCCTGCTGGCTGCAGAGGAAAACACTCCAGAATGAATTTAACTGTGACCATCATCACATCCCAGATTATTGTTACCAATAAATCATCTCAACGTAATTGTTCTTACAGGATAGTTAACTTTTGCTGCACCGCATACTGTAGGGCTCCTGTAGGTCTTTAGAAAGTACAGGAATTAGTGTATTTAAATCATGATCTCCTTATCTCCTCGGTTCAATGTACAGCAGGTTACTCCTGTCCTTAGCCAAAAGAAGGATACGCTGAGCTGCCACAATCTGGAAGTTAGGCAAGAGGACTAATTAATCTTCTGTTGATGAACCACTGGATTAGCTGAATCCCTTCTGCTGTAAGCAACCAGCAGATGCTGCGTGCAACTAGAAATCTAAGAAAATACAGATGAAGAATCTAAAAGGATTATAAAATTGAAAGTCCTTCTTGATTGGAAATCCTACTGACTCCTTCAAGTCGTGACAATGGCGCACTGGGAGAAGGGACAGGAACTGCAGAGCTGAGAAGCAGGGTGAGCAGAGAAGGCAGGACGCTTTGGCTGCCCATGCATTGCCTACTGCAGGGGCTGAAGGAGAATTTCATGCTCAGGGATTTCTCTGTCAGTGTTGGTCACGAGTGTCATTGTCAAGATGTCTGCCGTGTAACAGACTGTCAAAATCAGATACCTCAGATGACTGCTTCATTCTGCTCAGGGTGTGCTTCAGTATTTTCTTTCTGCTTTCAGGGGTTTTACCCTGTGGAGGAAACTGTCTACTTAGGCCTCCAGAAAAGGAAACTGCTAGGCAGAGATAGTATCACTTTACCCGCACTAATAAAGCAAAGGGAGTTAGAGCTGCCCCACCACGCTTCTTCACTCTATTTATTTATGCTCCAAAGTATCGCACGGTAAAGTAAATTTTTCTGCCAGCAGAATTCTCGGTGCCATTGTTCTAAGTATGGTACATAATTGTCAGTTTATTAAAGTTCTTCTTTCTTCCAGAAGTAGGGTACATGTTTTCCTCCACACAGCAAGACACGAGCTGTGGATTTGCTCTAGGCTTTCTCGTTTCTTGTCTGGAAACCGCCAAAATCTGCAACAACCAACCCCTGTGCTTTAACTGCAGGAACCTTGTGACAAATGTTATTAAGGGAGGTTATACTCAGGAACTGGGTGTTTTACATGATGTCTACTTGCAAGTATGAATGTGAGATATTCTGGAGCATGACTCTCTGCATCTCTGTGCGCATCTCTTTTGACAGACCTTCTGGGATATAGCAGCATCTTTGAGACTAATTTGCTGGTATATGCAAACAAATATTTCTACATCTGTTCTTCTCAGGAGATTTAAAAAAAAAAAAATCCAGCCCTCCTAAGTGACATTAAACCAGACTCTAGGGGGAAATTTCATTTGAGTGAGAAAATGCTGTGACTGTGGACCCCTGGATTTTGCAGCTTCCCAGCTGGTTCTCTTCAATACGTGTGAGGCCAAAAGAACGAGTTTGCTTCAGGCCAAACGACTGGAGCTCCTGCTCCATGTAGCGTGCTGGGGGAGAGGTGCAAGGCAATCATTCATCCTGGCACGCCTGCTTCTGGCATGCCAGAAGAGGCATAAGTAGTTCTGCCATGGTCAGCAATGCCTCATGTAATCTTTGCTAGCCTCTTGCACTTTGGCATTGAATTATGGAGAAAGGGGCTTCTCCACGATACCAGACCAATAGAAAGGAGATGCGGGGACAGAGCAGTTCTTTGTTCAGAGATGACTCAGGAAAGAAAGCCTTTGAGGGCATCTGAAACTTTGACTCGGATAGTTGTGTCCCCACAGCTAGCTCTTTGGGTGTGTCTGTGTGGGTGCTGAATCTGGGAAGGTCTGTTTGTGGGGGTGGTGGATTAGCGAAGGGTGGAGGGAGCTGTGGGTCCCCGCGAGATAGATTGGATCTCTGTGCTTTGTTAAGGTGTTTGGTTAGAGGTTATTAGGGCCTGCCTGTCAGTACCAGGATCCGAAATTGTTCTGTCCATCTGTATGTCCACATTTGGCTGGTGATGCCCGCATCATTTTCCAGAATTTTTATTAACCAGCAGCTGTTACCAGGTTAAGTTTTTGACCCTCCCAAAAATGTAATTTAATTTTCAACTGAAAAAAAAGGGGATAGGATGACTACAGAAAAAAACACTTGCATTTCAGAGAGCAATCAACTCTAACAGCCAGCATCCTGTTTTGGGCTGGGTTTATACATCAGCTCCTCTGACAAAGGCAAGCTTGCAGGAAGTGAACGTGAACAACATTTTCTCTGGGAAACTTGCTTTTTGAACCCCCCTGTTTTGCTAACTGCATTCTGAAGTATCTGCTCCTGCTTACCCTCCCCTCGCCCCTCAGCATTAAGCTAACGCTCCAAACGCTCAGCCTCACCCTCCTCTTCAGGGAGTTATCAGCAGGAAATGAAGTCAGTTGGAACGCTTTGTACTATCAACATTTTTTGCTCTAGCTCTGCAGCTGCAGTGAAGCACATCTGAGAACACACACACACACACGCTCACACACACATGCTCACGTGCGACCACGCGCGCGCACACAAAAACTCACGTGCCAGGCACTGCACTCGTCTGGGAACTGATGTGACTGGGCAAGCCCCATTCCCAACGATGCTTGAATTACATGAAGGGACATGGATCTCAGGGTTCCTGCTAAGCTGTACTAGGCAAGGCTGTGCACGTGCTGTGCAGTGGCCACATAAAAAAGTATTTGATTGACATTAACTGAAACAGTTGAATCATTTCACATGTTCCTGATTGCCAGGCTGTGTCTGCGTGCTAGCATCATGGTTCTGTGCAGATTAACCAGGCTTCTTCATCTCACCAGAGGAAACTTTAAAGAAATACTGCATTGTACAGGGAGCATTTCACCTGCTAGGCCTTGCGACAGTGGCTGTGCTCTTAGGAACACGACCACAGTGAGGTACACCAATATCATTTATGTACAGGTAGCTACAGTCACCTCCAGCAGCACTTGATTTTCTTGGGAGAGCTCTGCTTTCATGGCTGATCTGCTTGACTTTGGAGAACAAACTGAACTGGGGTACTGTGAGGCATGGCTGTACCCCCTTTATATCAATACTGGGACAAACATTATCAGCATCAGCCGCGGCCAGTGTCTAGACTGAAGGGCTACTCTACCAGTTCCTTGTTTTAATGTGCAACAAGACCTAACAGAAACACAAGGTTACAATCAGAGCGTGGTTGTGGACACAGTCCCTGGAAGCTGTGCTGGATATTGTTGCATCCCCAAGCATCACCGAAAGCAGTGTCGCAGCTGGTCCTCTTAACAGCTTCCTCAGCATGCAGCCCAAGCCCTGACTGACCAGCAAAATTTTCTGACTGAACAATGAACATTTCTGCTCCCTAATGGGTTATCCGCAGAGGAAGCTTGCTCTGCCATTGTCTGTGGTAGTCGTAAAAATGTAAAATGACTTTTAGCCGAATCCCAGGCCAGTGCTATATTCATTTCACCTTTCTTTAAAAAAGAATTATAGATGAAAGAGGCAGAAAGTAAATTCCCAAGCAATATAATTTGGGAACTTTGAGGAGAAGAACAAATAAATGCATTACGCGCAAGCACGCAACACCTTTTAATGTTCAGCAGCGTTCTGTGTTGTGTGAAGTTTCTTAATAGTAGTTGTACTGCATCGTTTGACAGGGCCGGTATCTCCTCAAGCTGATAACTAACCTCCATTTTTAGAAGCAATTTGCATGGTGGGTCTCATGTGGCACCCAGTGTTGGCACTCCAAAGCCCTGAGCACTTCAGCTTTTGCCAGAGCTGATTCAGAGGTCAGTCCTTTCCGT